GATTAACTTAGTAAAAAAAAGGTTGTAAGCTGTTTTTTAAATAATTAGTTTTGTAAAAAATTTGTGTACGAGTGATAGACGGAAAGAGTTTTATAATTATATTTTAATTTATTTAATTTATATTGAAAATATTTAATAATTATATATAGCTTCTTAACTACTATTGTTTATATCAAAGTCAAGTATTGATAAAAATTTAAGAATCTATTTTTACTATATTTGGAAAATCTTTTTAGATCAAATTAATTCAAATTCAACCTCTTAAGCTATTATGATATGAAAAAATTCTAAAAAAACTAAATTATATTATTAAAAACTTTTTACTTCTATTAATAATGATAATGCTACCAACATATACTTTACTTATATTCTTAAAAGAGTATGACCTGCTATTATGATAACTAATATGAAATTGGTATATACTATAATTGTATACCAAGTTATGCTTAGTGTTTATTACAAAAAATTAAATATAAGTAATAAAATAATTAAAAATAGATTAAATAAAAATATTGTAAGTAATATATATTTAATTATATTTATTTTATTTAAATATATTTTTATTGTTCTAATATTTTTAATTGTCTGGAGCATAGCGATAAATACTCAATTTTTATGTATTATGTAATACAAAAGTTATATTTTTGATATATCTAAGCTACAGAAAGCTTCCTTTTTGATGCATCAATATAACTTTTAGTAATCAACATATTAATAATATAATTTGAAAATTTTTTGTCTGTCTATATATATAATACATGATTACAAAATTATTTTAACTGATAAGTTTTTTTTTTATTTGTTTTGATTTTTCTTTGTATAGTACTAATACTATATTTTTATTGCTTGTTACTAGATTGGATCTAATCTAGATAAGTATTTTTTTTTTTTTTTTTTGTGATTTTTTTCTTTTATTAATATTTTTCTCTTGTAAGTTTAGGTTTTTTTGAAACTTGAAACTGACACCAGGTAAGAAAGCTCTGGAGTTTTTTTTTTTATTTTTTGTTTTTTTTTAACAGGACTAATATCTTTTTACTTTTTGTAAATTTAGGTTCTCTTGAAATATGAAATGAATATTAGATTGTTTTTATTCTTTATATTTTTTTTTCATATTTATTACTTTTATATAATTTTGTTGTTGAAGTCGATATAAATTTATAGCTTTAGTCATTTGTCTTTTTTTCTATAATATAACTAACACTTCTCTTCTTCTAGATATAATTTCATTATTGGAGTCATCACTATTGAAGCTATTGAAGTTTTTGTAGTTGTTAGAGTTGGTGTTTGTGATTTGTTATATTGTAGTTTTTTTTTCTCTATATTTACTAATGCTTTTCTTTTTCTAAGTGTGATTTTAAGTTATTGCTATTCAAGTTATTAGAGTTTTTGTTATTATTAGGGTTAGTATTTGTGAGTTGTTACATTGCTTTTTTTTCTATATACTGTATTTACTAACACTTCTCTTTTTCTAGTTGTGATTTTATTATTGAAGTCATTGCTATTGGAGTTATTGAAGTCTTTATTGTTATTAAAGTCAGTGTTTATAAATTATTGTATTGCTTTTTTTCTTCTATATTTATTAACACTTCTCTTTTAATTTTGTTATTGGAGTTGTTGTTAGAATTGGTGTTTGTGATTTAATATATTGTTTTTTTTTTTATATATTTTCTTTTTTTTAGATGTAATTTCATTGTTGGACTATTAGAATCTTTGTTAACATTAGAATTGGTATTACATTGCCTATTGGAGTCTTCATCATTATTAAAATTGGTGTTATATTGCTTTTTTATATATATTAGCTAATGCTTATTCTTTTAGCTATTGCGTTATTGCTTATTGTGTATTAATCCGTTCATTGGCATTTGTTTTTGTTGAGAGCTTTATATTTATTCATTCTGGTTTGGTAAATATGAATTAGTAAGTTGTGATAGTATGATTTTGTTTTCATTATGTTATATTTTTAATAATATGATTTTGTTTATTATATATGTATTACATTTTTTTTAAATAGTATAATTTTGTTCAGTATGCTTTTTTTTTATTTTTTTATTAATTAATAAAAACTTAAAAAATAAATAAATGCTCTAAATAAATTTATTCTAAATAATATTGTAATAATATTTTAGTTATAAATAAATAAATTATATTAAATAAAAGTACAAAATAAATTTATTCTAAATAATATAGTAATAATATTTTAGTTATAAATAAATAAATTATATTAAATAAAAAAAATTTTATTTTTAAATTTTTGCTTCAGACTTATATTGGTTCCTGATTTCTAGTTTAATTAATTAAGAATAAGTTAGCAGCAGGCACTGCTTTTCTTCTCTGCTACTAACTATGAAAAATTATTAACTAAAGATAAACTAGTTGAAGTTATAATATTATCTAGTAAATAAAGTTGCAAACATAAGAGGGCTTATACTACAACTTGAACTACCTTACATTTTACAAAAAAAAATCATACAATCAAAGTATCTTCTTTAGATTCTATTTATAATTTACTAATTTATTCTAATTATTCTGATTTATATATATCTGATTTGTACTTTACTAATCTATTCTAACCTATACCCCTGTATTCAAATTATCTTTATCTATCCTAGCATCATCTATGTTAGTTTTAACTATTTTACCTTTACTAACAACTTTATCTGTTCTATCTCTTCCAACTACTTTACAGAAAGTTATAATTTTTTAATAATATCATAATTAAGTAGTTACTAAATTGTTACCAAATTGATATAATTTTTTTTTATATTAATATAAAATTGCTATGATAAAGTTACGATTATAGTAACCACATTGTAACAATATTATAACAATATTTAAAATAAATCAAATTGTGATAACACAATAATATATTTACAATTAAGTAACTAGATAGTTATTAAAATGATATAATTATTTTTTAATATTAAATTAAAATTACTACAATAAAGTTACAATTATAGTAACTATATCATGACAATAGTATAACAATATTGTAACTACTTTATGATGGCATTATAACTATTTACTAGCAATTAAGCAGCTATATATTTGTAATTTAGTAATTAAATTATAATAATATTAAAGTAATATTGTTACAATTAAATAAAAATTTTGCAACAGAATTTCTACTATGTGTTTACAATAATACAACAATTTTATTACAATATATTTATAATTAAAATGTAATATTATAATTATATATATACAATTATATAACAATTTTACAATAATACTTTTTTTAAATTTATTATATTATATATTTATTATATTTATAATAACAAAAATAATATAAATAATAAAAAAACTACAGTAAAATTAATAAATCTATTAAAAAGTACTAAAAAATTATAGAGAAAAAATACAAAGAAAATATTAAAGAGCTTTAAAAAAAATATTAAGTAATCCTTAGAAAAATCATTAAAAACTATAAAGAAATTGTTAAATAATCATATAGAGTTTTGACAAACTAAAAGAATATTAAAAAATATTAATGTGATACTTCTATTACAAAATTGTTAAATAATCGTAGAGAGAATTTCGATGAACTAAAAGAATATTAGAAAATATTAGTGTGAATATTAAAAGAACTTCAAAAAAAATATTAAATGATTCTTCATAAAATTGTCAAATAATTGTAGAGAGAATTTTGATAAACTAAAAGATCATTAGAAAATATTAATGTAAATATTAAAAGAACTTCAAAGAAAATATTAAATAATTCTTAGAAAAATCATTAAAAAACTATCATGAAATCGTTAAATAATCATAGAAAGAATTTTGACAAACTAAAAGAATGTTAGAAAATATTAGTGTGAATATTAAAAGAACTTCAAAAAAAATATTAAATGATCTGTAGAAATATTATTAAAAAACTATCACGAAATCGTTAAATAATCATAGAGAATTTTGACAAACATACTAAAAGAACGTTAGAAAATATTAGTGTGATGCTTCAATTATAAGATCATTAAATAATTGTAGAGAGAATTTCGACAAATGAACTAAAAGAATGTTAGAAAATATTAGTGCGAATGTCAAAAGAACTTCAAAGAAAATATTAAATGATTCTTAGAAAAATTGTTAAAAACCATAAAGAGTTTGTTAAATAATCGTATAAAGACTAAAAGAACATTAGAAATATTAGTGTAATACATTCATCATAAAATTGTTAAATAACTATAGAGAGAATTTCAACAAACCATTAAGAGATCATTAAATAATCATATAGAGAGTTTCAACCAACTAAAAGAATATTAGAAAATATTAATGTAATACTTCTATCACAAGATTGTTAAATAACTGTAGAGAGAATTTTAACAAACTATTAAGAGATCGTTAAATAATCGTATAGAGAGTTTTGACAAATTAAAAAAATATTAGAAAATATTAGTGTGATACTTCCATCACAAGATCGTTAAATAACTATATAGAGAATTCGACAAACTATTAAGAGATCATTAAATAATCGTATAGAGAGTTTGACAAACTAAAAAAAACATTAAAAAATATTAGTATAATACTTCCATCACGAGATTGTTAAATAACTGTAAAAAGAATTTTGACAAATAAACTAAAAGAACATTGAAAAATATTAGTGTAACTTCAAAGAAAATTAAATGATATGTAGAAAAATTGTTAAAAAACTATTACAAAATTATTAAATAATCGTAGAAAATTTTAACAAACATACTAAAAGAACATTGAAAAATATTAGTGTGATGCTTTAATCACAAGATCATTAAATAATTGTAGAAAGAATTTTGATGAATGATCTAAAAAAACATTAGAAAATATTAGTGCAAATGTCAAAAGAACTTCAAAAAAAATATTAAATGATCCTTAGAAAAATCGTTCAAAACTATAAAGAGCTTATTAAATAATTGTATAGAGACTAAAAGAACGTTAGAAAATATTAGTGTGATACATTCATTATGAGATCATTAAATAACTATAGAGAGAATTTTAACGAACTATTAAGAGATCATTAAATAATCATATAGAGAGTTTCAACCAACTAAAAGAACATTAAAAAATATTAGTATAATACTTCTATCACAAGATCGTTAAATAACTATAGAGAGAATTTCAACAAACTATTAAGAGATTGTTAAATAATCGTATAGAGAGTTTTGACAAACTAAAAGAACATTAGAAAATATTAGTGTAATACTTCCATCATGAGATTATTAAATAACTGTAGAGAGAATTTTGACAAATAAACTAAAAGAATGTTGAAAAATATTAGTGTGAATGTTAAAAGAACTTCAAAGAAAATTAAATAATACATAAAAAAATTGTTAAAAAACTATTATGAAATCATTAAATAATCATAGAAAATTTTGAAAAATATACTAAAAGAACATTGGAAAATATTAGTGAGAATATCAAAAGAATTTTAAGAAAATATTAAATAATTTATAGAAACATTGTTAAAAACATAAAAAGATCGTTAAACAATCATAGAAAGAGTTTTAACGAACTAAAGAATGCTAGAAAATATTAGTATGAATGTTAAAGAACTTCAAAGAAAATATAAATAGTCTTTAGAAAAATCATTAAAAAACTATTATAAAATCATTAAACAATTGTAAAGAGAATTTTGGCGAACTAAAAGAATATTAGAAAATATTAGTGTGAATGTCAAAAGAACTTCAAAGAAAATATTAAATGATCCGTAGAAACATTATTAAAAACATAGAGTTTGTTAAATAATCGTAGAGAATTTTGACAAACTAAAAAACATTAGAAAACATTAGTGTGATGCTTCAATTATGAGATCGTTAAATAATCTTTGAGAGAATTTTGATGAACAAAAGAACATTAGAAAATTTGGTCAAAGAACTTTTTAGAAATATCATTAAATCAGGATCCTGGATAATACTAATAGAGATACAAGATGGGTTAATAGTAAATTTTTGGGCATTTTGTCTACTCTAAACACTCTAATTTTGCCTATTTTAAGTCTTGTACTCTCTAATTTATAATCTATATGCCCGATTTAATTATATAACATATCAATTGCTATAAGTTTAAAATAGAGTTGTGTTACAAAGTTATCTTGCAAAAATTAAGCAAAATTACTTTTTGAAATTGTATAAATTTATAATTTTTTATTTATATTTGTTATAGTTATAATTATAAAAATGTTTGAACTAATAGCATAATTATTACTATATTATTATGACATCAAACCTAATTATATACAAGTTAAAAAAAAAAAAAGACTACTCCTTTTAGGGTTTATCAGTAATGCATATTTGTATATTTTAAAATTTTTCTTTTGTACTCTAACAATTTTTCTTATACTATTTAGTATTACGTGCTTAATTCTTCTATCTTAGATTAAATTAATACAAGTAAAAAATTAAATAAAAACAAATAGATTAGTAAATACTTCAATTAATAAAAAATTTTTATACTTACAAATAATTGATGTAAATAAGAATTAAATATTTAAATATTTCAATTGATTTTTTTTTCAATCTTTTTCTTAGTATTTTTTTTTAATTCTGATTTTTGGCACTCCTATTTTTTTTTTTCTGAAATTTTTAGTTTAAATAATTATATCTGAACTAATTCAATATAAAGTAAGAAAAAATTAGATGAGTTTGATATTTTATATTAAGTATTTCAATTGATAAATTAGTATATAAAATAATTAATATAATTAACAAAACATAATATAAATAGCTTACCTTAATTGTTTCAAATAACAAATAATTATACTGTATATAAATTAAATTGTACAATAATCGAAAAAGTGTATTAGGTTATTCTAAGCCGATCAAGTAAGATAACAAAATCGGCTTAGAAAATTGACGATTTTATTTATTTATTATATTATCTTGTTTAAATCTAATCCACTTCGACCTCAGAATTAACAATAATTTGTAACAAATTCTTTGTAAAGCATTTATTAAAAAACCTATATAACTCTAAAGCTCTTTCTAAAATAGTTACCAAGTTATGTTGCTTATCAATATAAATAAAATCACCAAATCCAAAATAATAGATAAAAAATTTAGCACTAATATGACTAAAAATCATGTGACTAGAATTAGCTATAGGTGAAAAAATATTATTTTGAAGTGGCAAAAAATCTTTACTGATAAATAAGATAATGAATCTATATTGACTACATCACCATGTATATAAGAATAATAATTAGAATTCTTTTGATATAATGCCACAATTTGTACAAAACAAAGTTCATAATTAATATAAAAAAATCTATAATCATGCTTGCAAAGAGGATTATATTCTCCAATATTAGCGACAGTTATTCTATTTAGACAAAAATAATTTATCAAATAAGCAATTTTAAACTAATTATTTAATATTAATTACTTACCAACTTTCTTATTTGTATTTGATAATACAGACAAATGACATTGATTTTTCTACCAAATCTCACGTAATTTCTCAGTTTATGATATTTTAATATTTGATGTACAATTTGCAATTAGACTACTAATCATATTTGGAGAAACAGAATTCAGATTCTGAATTCTAGAAATAACTCTTCGCTCTATATTTTGGTTACTATAACATTTATGATTTTTTCATAAATTAACTAGATAAGGAATATCTAAAGTGTTTGCTTCAGTAATACCAGTATAAAATTTTTTATATATTTCTAAATCATGATTATTTAATGAATTTGTATCTGATAATAAAAAAGCTAATTTAAGACATGCATCTCTTAAATTATTCTCAATATTATTATTGCAAATATTAATTGTATTAAAATTAGCTATGGTACTTGCTGCTGTGGTAATTGCATATGAGTCTGATATTTCATTATTTTGGAATATATTATTAAAATTATTAAAGAAATCATTTTCATTATTTTCATTATCTAACTGATTCAATTGTCTCTCAAAAGTATTTAAAAAATCAAAGAGTTCATCATTGTGATTAACCATTAAAGGAACTTTTGCCAAATCCCAAGCCTGTTGATATCCTTCATAAACAGCACAAAGTAAATTATTATCTGAAAACTATTGATATAGCATATTAATAGTTTCTGCAAGCATTCTAGTATTATAATGTGTAATATAGTCTAATAAAAATAATTAATTAAATATTTAACTACAATATATATAATAATATTTAAATTATACTTACCAACACCAGAAGTTTTATCCTTTATTACTTCATTTAATTGATGATCTTTAACTAAACTGAAGAAATATTTTGTGTAATGTTACCCAAAATATTTTCTAAAATAGTGAGATTTTTTACTAAGTTAATAGCTCATATAAATTAAGTAAAAGTTGTAGAGCTCTTCGAGGCGCACCTAATGGTAGTTA